GAATCGGCCGGGTGATATGACAAACATTGAGCAAAGGTTTTGACTCGCATCCCGAAGTCAATAAGTGCTAGCTGTCATTAGCATTGTTTTGCCATTTTAACTTACATTCAAGTGAAAGCGAACTTCGTCTGCTATTGTGCTAAATTCGACAACTAAGCCATATGCAATAAAGTAGAAAAAATTGATAAAGCAGCCAAGGAAAAATTAACTTCTACACTTTTAAGCGCCAGTCAGATGGGGATAATTCTGTAAGACATTAAACTTTTGAAGATTAGGCAAATACAAAATGCTTGTTTCAATAACATGCCGGACAAAAATATTTCGGCCAAGTAATTTAGTTTAACGTAACCTTAAGAGTGCTTATAATTTGGTTACAGTTTTCTAGACTGTATTGGTATTTCTGTCCGTGTATTAGTCGTGTATTATACGTTTACTTTAGTCACTTTAATTTTTTTTGTCTGTAAAGCTTAATTTCTTCAAAACTATGGTCAAGCACGATATTAAGTACTAGTATAACCATATCAATGCGAACTGCTACCATAGTCGTGCGTTGTTGCATAACGAATCTTTATTAATTGCTCGTTGTCTGCATGCAGACACACTAGCTGCAGTGATATATGTCACAAACAACACAACACTTATATTAAAAACACACATTATGAACACTTTCTGCTTCAGCCAAGTTTGGCTGAATTAATTAAACGAAGAGAGGTGTCGCGGCGAGATAGGGTGACCTAGCTTTAGTAGCGCGACTTGAAAGGTTATATTATTATGCCATACAAGTGAAACCGTGTGCGCCGCGGCAGTAGTTCTGTTGGAAGCGGACGTTGTAGGCATCTGTATAGATCTATTTTACGTTTGTCAGTCTGGTGTAATAAGGAGACATATAGATCTCCGATGTACAGGAAGTAATTCTTAGAACAAGGTCATTTGTCACGACTCTCACATTCAGGGTCCCCACTGATTATCTATGACAATACCTGAGTCCTTTATGTATACTTATTGCAAATAATTCTTATAATAACAGCATAAAATAATATTGATGAAGAACGATGAATGTAAAAAAAGTCATCCATCCCCCCCCCCCTTCCAGGAACAGCGCAACCCCAATGTTTTCATGAAATATGACTGATCGCGATCGAGATGTATTTACCCACCTTATAACCTCTTATCCCTTTCATTCCCTTCATCTAAGTCTGCATTCCACGCTCGTTAGGGTTCATTTATCAATTATTTGTCACTTGCCTACTTAGCTATCACGATAAACCGTGTTGCTTATATTCTGTCGGTGAACAACAGAGATTTTTTCCGGTTTTGTAGTTTATTGCATATATTTGGGTTAGCCTATAGCTAACAGACACCATATATTATGTCGCACCGTATACATGGGTGTGTTCTATTTTGTGATTTCTTTGTAGTTAACATTACATTGAAGATGTGTTTGTGCTTTATCGTATTCTTTCCAGCCAATGTGATTCACTTGTTTATTTAAATTCGCTCCTTGGTATAATTTGCGTTGTGATTCACAAAGAGATGTCAAAACATCCCCGTTTTAGAGGCCTATTTGCATCATATGAAATAGAGTTCCAGCCCGCTATGCCTAATCCAAAAAACATTCGCTGTCCAGGAAATCAATGATGATTATAAATGACGCACTAGTCACACTAGGGTGATGATACAGTATTAATTACACTTATAAGCCTCGTGTTATCATGCTGGTCAAAGTATCAACGCGCACAGTGGGTGAAATTGGAGATGAAGAAGCAAGTATGTATGCACCATGGAAAATATTGGCAGTTAAGAAATGGCGTCAAGTAGTTATACATAGGCGTTAACGTGAAAGGTCAAAAAGTATACATAAGATGTATTGACAAAATGAACCAATTAGCACTTGGTAGCTACAAAAATGTAACAATATTACACGCCAGAACAGGCGAAAACGCACTGCTTTGGCTATTTATCACATTGAAGCAATATAGGCCACTTTGAAAGCCGTCTTTGGTAGCATAGATGGTACCTTGTTTCTTTATTTCTGATGAAAGCTAAGTTTTATCAAAAATAAATGACTTTACAGAATTTCAGAGATGTTATTAGAGTTTTCCAGTGTGTCGGCTAATGTCCTGCAAACAAGGAAAGAAAAGCACTTACGTTATTTAATTCCAAATGGATTGTTATAAGGATTTTTGATAGGAATTAAACACGAGTACATAATGTAAATACACATGTCCGTACCATTACCAAGATATTTAATGTTATTTCATTCGTTTCAATAAAGTTTCGTTCATTAAAATGGGACTTGTTTCCTTACTTAATTCCTTATATAAATATACGTATAGAGTAAATGAATGTAACATTGGCATCCTCTTTTAATAGTAAGATCTGATAAATGCTAATACATACACATTCATATCATACCTGTAACCACGTTCACAGGTAATCTTTCAGCAAACCTACAACAAAACAAATATGTCACAGGTTAGAAAAAATGATTCGGAATTGTCCATAGTAAATTTTTCGTTACCTAAGACATGAGATCCAACAGAAAACTAACAACAAAGGGGCTGTACAAATACCGAAAAATACTGGAAAAACATGAAGACACCTTCACGGCCCAATTTCGTTATATTTAAGTTAAAATGTGAATAAACAGGACCGGCTCTATGTGTCCTATCTGTCCTCATAAACAATAATTGCCCTTTACAATTTGGATTTTTATGACTGTGAATGTTGAATTAACATCCTCAATTTCACTGTGTAAAAGTAAACATTTTGAGGATGATTTGGCAAACCTCATTTTATATTCTGAATGTGCCAAACAGGAAGTTGAGGGGACTTGTTTTTTACAAGATTGTGTTTGCAACAAGTATGTATACAATTGCACCATAAAATCATAGTTATGCCGTTGCTGTTTTGGAGTTGATATAGTTATGGTGCTTTATTTTCATCCTTGGTGGTGTAGAAATTGAACTAGATGGTTCCGATGGGTACCCATTACATAAACCTGCATTTCCCCAAATTGTAAAGAGTAGCTCACATTCAGGGCCCCCACTGATTATCTATGACAATACCCGAGTCCTTTATGTATACTTATTGCAAATAAGTCTTATTATAACAGCATAAAATAATATTGATGAAGAACGCTGAATGTAAAAAAAGTGTCATCCACCCCCCCCTCCCCCCCTCCCCCCCTCCAGGAACAGCGCAACCCCAATGTGTTCATGAAATATGACTGGCCCATCCACAGCCCTGATGAGAGGGTTATCACTTCAGATCATTAATATCAATGATCTAGAGGAGGAGATAGCAGAACTTGAGGAATGGACTTGTACAATGTGCAAAGGAATTAGGTCAAAAATCCCCCCCCCCCAAGGACATCCAAACCCTAAGAAGCACTAAATTTTGTGAAATGCCCACATTTGTGTTGATATGTCTGCGAATATCTTAAGTTTAAACTTCCTCATTTTAATAATCTGGGAGGAGTAAGCCGAAATTACAATGTGGCAAGAATGAACAACCATCGACCCCAAAGGGCCAGCTCAACTCCCCCCCCCCCCCCGGACTAAAATTCTAAGGTGCCCATGCTCATCCCTGATCATAAATTGATCAATTACCAGAATTTGAACTTCCTCAATCTTATGGCCTGATAGGGGCCAGAAGAAATTACACTGTGAAAAGAGTTTAGAGCTAACCATCCCCCAGGTACAACCCAACCCCTAGCTGCACTAAAATTCTGAAGTATAGGTCTACAGACCCGTAGCCAGCAAATTCAAAAGGGGGGTTCTTTTTCTGAAAAAGTGGACCTTTTACAATGAAACTTATGTGTACCTAGAAAAAATTTTACCCAAAATGGGCCTTTTCCTGACAAAAGAGACGGTTCTTTCGAACCCCCCCCCCCCCAAACCCTCCCTGGCTACGGGCCTGGTCTATAATTAATCCGCAAAGTTTCAACTTCCTAACTGTAATGGTCTAAAAAAATAAAGAATCAACCACCCCCAGTGGCAGTCCAATGTCCTGCTGCACTACAATTCCGAAGTATCCATACACATCCCTAATGATAGGTCTATACATTCCCAAAGTTTCAACATCCTAGCTCTAACTGTCTTGGAGGAGATAGCAGAAATTACTAAAGCAATGGTACACAGACTCGTGGACAGGCAGAGTAACATGATTTAGACTCTTGTCGCAAAAGTGCAGGGATAATGGACTTTCATATGGCATCCCAATGCTCAAGAATATGATGATTAGCCGATCTAAGCCTGACGGTAGGTCAACAAACATCAATGTGTTCCATAAATGATGGCATCTGAACATCTAAGCCAACCGAAATTTTGAGCAATCCTTGCACTTATATGCATTGTACATTAACAAGGCATGTACGGACCAAGCTCAGTTAGTCAATATTTTTTGGTAAATTTTCCAAATGTTCATAAATAGTTCAATGTTGACTAAGATATCCACATATTTTATTATCCGATAACCAAAATAGTTTGATACATAAAATCATTTCTAGACCCCCATCAAAAAAAAAGGAAAAAAATTGGAATTTTCTCTGAAAAATAGGAAAAAATAACAAATAGGAAAAAAATAGGAGCTTGACTCCCTTCATATCGTTAGCGACGACGTGAATCTCGCGAGACAAGACGAGAATTCCTTAGTGGATTTGGAGCAAAAAGGAAAAAAAACAATTACCAATTACTGTAGTGCAGCCATTATTTCTTCGGTTACTAAGCTGACTTTGGCGTGCAAGGCGGAGGAAATCTCCTCCAACGTCTTCTTTAAACGTTCTCCAAGTCCGGGGACAATGTCATTAATTTCATTGACGAATCGTTTAGTGTTTTCCACGTCTTTGATCAGATTCAGAGCTGTTTCCATATCGAAAATATCTCTCCCTTTACGATCTGTAGATAAATTATCAACAACACTGCATCAAAATATCAAGTAACCAACAATATAAAGTATATCACAGTCTTATAAATGACCAATGGCATTCGCTTCACTTATCTACTTTAAACAAAAAAACGTTGTTTGGTAAAGGTATAAAAGAGAAAGACCAACCACCGAGAAAATCCATTTACCTCCAACATTTCCCCCAGATAGAACTTCATCTGTGATGGAGTTGACAATGTTATGAAGAGCAGTAGTGATATCGTCAATACTTCCGTTGAGATGTTTCTGGATATCTGGGACAAGTTGTTTAAGTTCACTGAGAAAACGCTGGGTCATACCTACAGCGTTGATCACCTTCAGAGCGGTTCCTAATTGAGTTCCAGATGTCAAGGACTCCAAGGTGTCAAACAGACCACGACCTTTGCGATCTGAAAGATGAAAGTATATCTAAACAATTAACTTAGTGCAAGTACCTCTTTGAAAAGAATATTGAAACTTTTCGTTAAAGGACAGTATAAAGAAAATGCATACAGTTGACTCTTAAGAGTATGAAACAAACTTCAAAATGAAGAAACAGCAACATTCTACAATGTTTGAAAGGACCTACAAATGATCAGTTATACTGTTTGTAAGTAACATAACCAAAACTTTCAGTGAAACTTTCACCTCCAACATTTCCCCCAGACAGAACTTCATCTGTGATGGAGTTGACAATGTTATGAAGAGCAGTGGTGATATCGTCAATACTTCCGTTGAGATGTTTCTGGATATCTGGGACAAGTTGTTTAAGTTCACTGAGGAAACGCTGGGTCATGCCTACAGCGTTGATCACCTTCAGAGCGGTTCCTAGTTGAGTTCCAGATGTCAACGACTCCAAGGAGTCAAACAGACCGCGACCTTTGCGATCTGAAAGATAAAAGTATACCTAAACAATTAACTTGGTGAAGGTGCATCTTGAAATATAATATTGAGACATTATCATCGTAGGACAGTATAAAGAAAATGCACAGAGAATGCCGTTGTCTAAAAATGTGACCAACACTTCTAAATGAAGTAACTTTAATATTCTACCATTTTTGGTGGGAGTTTAAATTGCTCAGTTCTAATATTTTTAAGATCAACTACACTTATAGTGAGACTTTCACCTCGAATATTTCCCCAAGATAGAACTTCATCTGTGATGGATGTGATAATTCAAGACTTTCGCTTCATTGAGATATCTGTTTTTTTTTTCAAACGTTGTTTGGTAATGGCATAAAAGAGAAAGACCGACCACCGGGAAATTCCATTTACCTCCAACATTTCCCCCAGATAGAACTTCATCTGTGATGGAGTTGACAATGTTATGAAGAGCAGTAGTGATATCGTCAATACTTCCGTTGAGATGTTTCTGGATATCTGGGACAAGTTGTTTAAGTTCACTGAGGAAACGCTGGGTCATACCTACAGCGTTGATCACCTTCAGAGCGGTTCCTAGTTGAGTTCCAGATGTCAAGGACTCCAAGGAGTCAAACAGACCGCGACCTTTGCGATCTGAAAGATAAAAGTATACCTAAACAATTAATTTGGTGCAGGTGCATCTTGAAATATAATGTTGAGACATTATCTCAACAAAACTGAAAGTGAAACTTGCACCTCGAATATTTCCCCAGAAAAAAACCTTATCTGTGGTGGAGATGACAATTCAAGACGTTCGGTTCATTTATAAATCTATAGTTTTCAAAAACGTTGTTTTGTAATGGCATTACAGAGAAAGACCGACCACCGAGAAAATCCATTTACCTCCAACATTTCCCCCAGATAGAACTTCATCTGTGATGGAGTTGACAATGTTATGAAGAGCAGTAGTGATATCGTCAATACTTCCGTTGAGATGTTTCTGGATATCTGGGACAAGTTGTTTAAGTTCACTGAGAAAACGCTGGGTCATACCTACAGCGTTGATCACCTTCAGAGCGGTTCCTAGTTGAGTTCCAGATGTCAACGACTCCAAGGTGTCAAACAGACCGCGACCTTTGCGAACTGGAAAGTAGACGTTTAAAGACCTTGAAGTTTTAGTTACATGTGTATAGAATCTATATATTTATATATTACATCTATTAGCTTTCGATATTTCAAATAGACAACTGTCTGCAAATATATCTCTTTTCTTTTTATTTTTCAATAATTATGAATGTGTCCAGTATGTTATAAGGACACACATGTAAATACAGTCAGAAAAGAGAATTCAAAAGCAAGGAGGAGATGGGTGTTATTGAGGGTTTAGGACCACCTCACCTTTGGCAATAAATCTAATTGTTCTATTGTCCCGCCGCCCGATAATGCCACTGAGGCAAAAGTTTGACTTAATCGCATACGTAAACACTACTTCAAGATATGTCACCGGGAAACACGATGTAACGTACGAACACTATGACAAAATATAAAACTACTGGTTTTTGTTCCAATTCTATGTCATCAATAAGTTCCTTATGTTATTTCCATCAATTAAAAAACTACCTTCTTCTTTACAATCCGACTTGACGTCATTTGCGATTGCATTGATGACGTCATGTAAAGAGGTAGCAACGTCCTCTATGCCACCACGGATGTGATTCTGAAGGCCGGGTACGATAGATTTCAGTTCGTTGACAACTCGGCCGGTGGCACGGAACGCTTTGACCAAATCCAGCGCAGGTCCAGGTTTGGTGCCACATTTTAGGAACTCGAGAGAGTCGAACAAACCGCGTGCCTTTACATCTGAAATAAACGACGTTTTTGTGGTAAAATTATCACATATTTATATATAATACTGATAATAGACTGAAACTGGTAGGGATTATTAACCTCTGCTGTTTTTGTTATATATATATATATATATATATATATATATATATATATATATATATATATATATATATATAAAAGGGATGCCGGTAATTACTGATTCAAGAGATTTCAAATTTGAAATAAAGCATAGCCAATATGCAGCTTGAGTTTTAGAGCGAATGGTATTTCCTTTGATACCATTAACGGTGACAGCGATTAAAAAAGCCTCATGGAAGCGATATTTGGTCTACATAACTTGAGGACTGGCTGTAATCTGCCGTCACGAAAGGCCATGACATTCAAATGAACAATCCTTTCCTTTGTAATAGCCGTATTGCAGAAACATTATTCATTTCGTGCTGTGAAATTGTTGGCTTGGCAACGATGACTTAATAACAGTAGCTTTTGCATGTGTTAACAAAGTATTTAATCAGCAAGTCCTCAAGTTATGTAGACCAAATATCGCCTTGCTCATTTTAAACTTGGTTTCTATCTTTCACAATTAAGTTTTCTTTTAATTTTAAGACCGCAAATTCATCCATCCTGATTAAATACTTATTATCCCTTTAACCTCTGCTATTTTTGTTATATATATATAACATGCGTGAGTGTGGAACAGAGTGCTCAACATAATTAATAATTAATATTAATGATAATAATTAACAGTTTAATAATGATAACACCAGATACTCTAAATAAAAGAACTGAAATAATTACCATGTGCCGGCATAAAGTGACGTAACTAACACGGCGTGCGACGTAAGTGTCGTCACGCCGTGTATGTAAAACGGGGTTATTGCATGTCTTTTGTTTATTTATTTATTTATTTATTTATTTATTTTAATTGTATATATATATATATATATATATATATATATATATATATATATACACTGATGCTCATAAGTTAAGCAACACCCCGATTTTTTCAAAAGTTTCTTCTGTCATGATCATTATTTCA